TTTGGATTCTGTGACGCCAGAGGTTTCTCAGCAAGTTGTTCCCATTTCTCCACGCTTGCGAGCATGAGCTGATCCGTGTGAACTCGGTCAGTCCTTGTATCATGTTGACTCGGTCTTCAGACTTCTGAATGGATAAATTCCCACACATTTCCGCCGTTCTTTTGGACTTGGATTTCGCCGTTCCCATAATGATCCCACCAGTGATCCCACCTTCTCCAAGAAGACTGTCACGGCTGGGGGGACTTCCTGTAGATACCTCTAAAGTCTAAACTCCTGAGAGAAAAAACAACCAAAAACAAGTCGGATAAATGACTTGTCCATCCGGCTTTATGGACCTGGTTTTTCCAAGTGACCTTTTGATCTGCTGTTTTGAGGTCACGTTTACTGGGGCTCCAAAAAGGTCACTTGGACCAAGCCGGGACACCTGGGACCTGCTTGGGCGCGGATGTCTCACCCCCTGATGATCATGTCCTCTAGGCAGGTGCCAATTCCGCCCGGCGAGGGAAACGTCGCGAGTGGACCGTGAGGCCTGTGGCTGTTGCGTGACCCACGTGAACTTCTATGTTCGCCCGGCATGACTTCGACGTCCGACGTGTAGATGCGCCCATGGGCGTGGTGTGATGCACGCAAGACAGAAACGATGGAGCCAGGAGCTGTTCGGAGAAATGCCACCTCAAAGAGATGTTGCCGCCTCAAAGCTTCCAAGACCCTCAAGCGGCTTTTTGCATGGTTAGTATAATAGAAATTGGGACAATCGACCACAAGGGTGAGAAATCCAAGGATGTTTGACTTGTCGCCGTCGCTATGAAGTTGATAATCATAAAGGGTCTCACACAGTTCAAGAACCGTTCATGTTACTTTTTTGGTTGGATATATAAACAATAACATGTATCAAATTATATATATATTATATTTATATCCCCTCTTAGAACTCCTGGCCCAATCAAATTACATCCCAAAGTGCCAAGTAGCTATAGGAGCTCCATATCTTCTCCACAACTTGGGTTTGCGAAGCAGTTTGCTTCCAGGGGGTGTATAGCTGATCAACCCAAAATGACCCTAGATTTTTAGGGACCAATGGTGGGGAAGTTCAGACGACTCTTGGGATCGATCTTACCTCGATCACACCAAGGTTCTGAACCATGAATCGCATGTCTTGTTTCACAAAGAAAGAGGGACAACTCCGACTGAAAAGAATCTAAGAATCATCATGATTCATCAACTAAAATCTCCTAAACATCCACATCAGATGTCCTTGTTTTGGACCAAACATCTCCTCGTTTGGAACCAGACATCTCCTCGTTTTGGACCAGACATGTGGGTTTCCTATGAAATGTCCAGGCCATATTTGTCCGAATCTTGGATCGATCTCGGCTCGGCCAGGTGGAACGGAAGATCGCCGGAGAGACGCGGCGAGACTGCGAGAGCGAAGGGGTCCCGGGCGTTGGGATGTTTTGGGGCCTAGGTTGGGCCAAATGGGTCCCGTTTTTTGTTGCTGGGGTCTTTTGTGGTCCATGACATCCATGATTCTGGAGATGTTTGTTAATGGAACATGATACCCCTATGCTGAGCGCTGAGCTGTTCAATGTTAAAGCAACCGGGGTGAGAGGATAGGAAGTGCTTGAGGCAGTTCTATTCATCCCAACTTGCCGCACTGACTTTTGGCGTGGCCATTACGTTGGTTTGGTTGTTGTGTGAGGATGGATCTTTCAATTCTAGTATGGGTCAGGGTCAGCCTGGATCAGTTCTCCAAAGCGGCCCGCGTTCTGTGCGGACATAAACCCATCGTTGTTTCCCACGGTATGACGGGCGCTGTGACTTCCACTAGTTTCACGACGTGGAACAACGAGGCGTTGCAGGAACTTTGTCATGGCTATGACCTTTGTATGACCGCGCATGTCCATCCCAGCTATTTTTCTGCACCCAGGTATGTTGGGGCTGACACAGAGAGAGCATACCATAGCATACCTACGTTTGTTGCATGCAGGACCTCAGCCTGAAACCCTGCTGACACTCCTGTCATGTTAGCCAGGTTTTGGGGGGTTGAACCTTTGCGATTTGTATATATAATACACGTACAGTTATAAAGTTATAATTTGTATTATATTTACATATGGCCTTCAATACAGATGTCACTCAGGTTCTTGATATCTACATTCTGATATTGTTTTAAAGAGGGGAAGGGATCAGGTTTGGTTTCATCAAAAGGTTAGCGATTGGAGGCCACTGTCCGATTCCAATGTGTTTTGATCTCTAGATGTGGCGGCCACTTCTCCTGGGCCCGGCCTGAACGTCGCGGCCTGCTGAAGCTTTGTCGCGGCCTGGTTGAGGGGCTAAATACTCATCGAGGTCTTCTATTAGTTTCAAAATCATTCCCATATGAAGAACAGCAAACCGAAGCATCACGATGCTTCAGTTTCCCTCCCCAATGTACCCTCTTGTTGCATGCACATCACCGGAGCCTCTTGGGCTCGGGGCTGCGGTATGTCCAACCGCCGAGGTATTTCAATCGCATCTACTCGGCGCCTGATGGAGAGGCTTCGTGGGTCCCACGGAGCACCACTGGAGTCACGATGGAGTCACGAGCCGAGCCCAGGGGATGTTGTTTTATGTCTATCATGTTCTGGCTATTTCTGTTGCCTGCGCATGTCCTAGAAGACCATGAAACCATTGGGGGTGCAGGTCGTACGGTCGTGGGGACCCACCAAAACGCAAGAGTAGAACCGTCCGAAGAGTTCAGCGATTCTCGAACATGGATTGTCCCTTTTGTTGCTCGGTTGCCAAAAACGCATGGTCCACAACACCACACAACCGCAGTCTACAACACATGGGTGCACAGATCGGTGTCTTTTGTCCCAACATCGACCTGAGTTCACCAAGAGAGTCCCTTCAATCCGATCGTCACCTGGGGAGTCTCTTTGGCTCCGTCCCCTTCGTTCAGGAAAAACGTGGCAGGAAGCTTCCGTTATATAGCTTACTGTTTTGGGAAGGACTTGCCATCCATTTTCGGGGATTCTGGTCCACTGAGTTTTGATCACGGAACAGTCAAAAAGGAGAATCCTTTTAAGAGATGCCAGTCACAAAAAAACAAACACCCAAAAACGGCTCGTGACGTCTTTTTCACCTTCAAGATGACATGAAAACCTCTTCTCTCTCCCGATTGAGACATCCCTATATGCATATATATTATAGGCCAGTATAACTCCATTGTTTTATTTTCTAGTTTTCAGACATCCCTATATTATATACCCATTGTTTTATCTTCCAGTTTTCACAGGACCCTATGACCCTATTTTCATTAACGAACACTTTGGCTTCAGGGAAACATCCTCCCCTCCATACGCCCTTGCACGCGCATCCTGGACGGGTTATCCCCCCGACTTGCACCGCCAGTCCGCTACCGCCTGTGCTGGGCGCGCCTATTCGCCCTCGGGTGATTTCCTGGCGATGGACACGCCGTCGCAGGCGAGAACTCCTCAGTCGGACCGCGGGCGAATCAGGTCGACCTTGCGGCCGAAGGACTGGCGACGGTTCATGAGCTCCGGTTGCTGGGAGGTTTTTGCCATGTTGGGAGCGAGATGGCACCCTGGGCGTGGGCGATCAGAGTACTCGTCTTCGGGAGTGCGCTAGGTTCAGGTCTTGATGACGGAGCATCTATAAGCAATTTGTTTACAAATACACTCAGTGGATTTATTCTGACCTACTCTGAAATTGAACACAGAACGCCCAAACGACCAGGTCGGCTAACCTGTTGAGACGTCCGAAACGTCGACACCGACCCGCCGATGGAGCCGTCATATAGGCCGCCGATGGCCGCTGGAGCGCGCTGCTGCGCAGCACACGAGCACCAAGCACTTCACCCAGCAGTATCCAGTGTCCTGTCCTGCGAAATCAGTGGTGCCACGAGGTGGGTGGTGCCACCAGATGGGTACACCCTGGACACCCTGGGGGTAGGTAGGTCGATGCTCCGAACCCTTGAGGGTCGGGACGCCTCAGAGGTTTCTATATGGGCAATACACACCCAGAATGAAGATGGAAGACAAACCATCGTCAGGTGGAGATCTTCCAGGAAGATCTGCAAGAACACTGGACCAGCACCATCTTCCATATTGTAGTACACAATGGTGCTGGATCAGTGATCGTCAGTCTCTGACACCATGGTGTTCCTCCGCGCTGTTCTGTTTAGGCCAGCCGCGGTCGGTCGTGTCACCCCGGACGGTGGGCCGGTAGACCTACATGGGATCGAAACCAGAAAAGGTGGACGGGTTTTGGTCAGCAGTTTGGCCCTAAAAACGATGGACACTTCACCTTTTTAAGTTCTCTTCAACTGAAGACACCATGCAAGTGCCAATACTTCACAATGAGGTTGTTTTGCAGTGATTTTGGTCAAGAGAGTAGGGCGTTCGTAGTCGCCAGGACTCCAGTGGACTGATTGGTGACCCCCCGAAGTGGATAGGACGAACATCGCCCGAGGTATATGCTCACCCAAGCTGGTGCCTTGAAGGCTGCTGGTGAAGTCTCTGCCAGCTTTACCGCTTCTGGCAGTGTCTACCAGGCCAAGTGTTTTTGGGACTTCAAGCCGTAGTTTTGCCCGAGAAAGCCGCCACCATTTCACGCAAGGTGGGGTCCACGTGGGGACCTTGTTTACTTCGGCTCAAGGAGCACGGATGGAATTTGGTTCATCACCATCACAGGGAGGAACATCCAACGCCTGAATTGCAGCGCTTCTTGTCTACAGGATTGAACATAGTGATATGATATGCCCTGTATTGTGCGTGTATGTTTTGACAACTTGTGTTGAACTGATGATGCCAACAAGATCGGAAGCTGTAACCCTCAAGGCTCCTCACTCAAAATCAAATGGCGTTGCCCCGCGGTGCCTGTTTGGATACACCGGAAATCTCGTCAAGTGCCTCCCATGTGACTTCGAGAGAAAACACAGCCTATACTCAGTACCCACAGAGTGTTGGGCTCATTATTGGATGTAAAACACTGGAGATGGTTTTGCTTTAGCACCTCTGCACTCAATGCGACGCTTGGCTCGGCGCCAACTGGACAGCCATGGGTCAGCATTTCACAAGTCCAAAGTTGAGCACTTCGGCGCTGCTAAGGGCATGGGACGGTGCTGGTTCTGCACGAGATGGATCGGTCAATTCTTTTTTCTAAGCGCCAGGGTCCTTTTTGGGAATTGGGGAGTTGGGAGAATGATTTTATCAGAACCAAGACATACATTCTGGGAATTTTGTTCTTCCAGACACCCGTACGCCGGCATAACTTTGACTGGACGACTTTGGATTTCCCTTTGAACACCCCAGGCGGCAGGTATGCTAAGAGAAATCAGTCGAGCCGCTCTCTGAGTGATCCTGCTGTGGGCCACTAGAATAAGAAACCCAAACAGAGGGTGTTCTGACTTTAAGGGATTTGGTGCGATTTGGTGCCCTTTCAAATGGGGAAGGGTGCTGGAAAACCTGCCGGTCGAAAGATTCAAAAGGGGTGCTCCTGCTCGGCTTTCAAAAATCAGAGAATGCATGACGGTTTACTTAGGGAAGTGACTAGCAAAACTGGTCAGTAGGGGCTTTCATGGACCTTCACGTGAGCAAAAGTCAGTTGTACCAGAAAACCTGAAATTCTTGTGTTTGTCCATGGGTGGTTCATGGTGTCTGTGTCGGTGCCGGCTCCACCAGGATGCAGGCGTTCGACACTTGATCATGTATCATGATCATTCCAGTAGCACTCTATCGTGTCCCATTACTTTTGGTTTGAGATTTGGTTGAAGAGTGAAAATCTCCTCGAAACCCATAATGGTTTTCTGGGAGTTTTTACGCTACTGCCTTTGACACGGACCAACGCAAATGGGAGGAAAGCGAAGATGTAACATGTCAAACTATCCCTAGATCCAAATACCTTCTCAGAATTTACTTGGACCCTCCAAACCTACTGGATCCATAGGGTATGAAAAGAAGTCTCCCATATGTACGGAAACTGTTCTTTGTCTGTATCTCTTGGTGGGTGTGTCCAGACATATTATACATGTTGTTTGGTGGGAGAAAAGACAGCTCCCTGTTTTGAGAATCCATTGTTGCTGGGAGGGGAGCAGCCCCACTGTTTAGTGTTGGATGAATGCTGAATATGGGCATTTGTCCACGCACCAGCTGCATCACCAAGTATCATTGCTGGATTCGATATCCCAACTTCATTGAACCCTTGAAGTAGAAAACACTTAGTTTCTCATGGTTTTTCACGTCCAGAAACTCACCCAACAAGACCTTTCGACACCAGTCCTCGGAATTGGTTGGGAGAACCCACCTCTCCCGTCATCGGTTTGTCATACCGTCACTTTAAGGCGTGACGGTGCTTTTGCCCAGTGGCTCTGGTGCGGAGGTCTCCATTCCAGTGAACTCCACGCTGGGAGAGTTGCTCCCCGGTACGTACGCAATCGCCGCAGGCTTTTGGAATGGTGTCGGCTTCGACGGGTTTCAATGTTGAGTCTAGTCTCATGGGAGAATGAGACTGGGGAGAATGAGACTCACCAGCCCACCTCCCAGTCCAAGAATGGGATCTGCTGGGAGTGCACAGATTTGCCGGGTGGGCGTCGTGTGGAATTGGGACGGACCAGGGACCACTCGCACCGCGCCGACCAAGGAAAGTGGCAGCTCAGAAATCTCTGGGGCGTTCGGCAGGCGACGAAAGATCGAAGGCGAAGTTTTGCCGTTTGCCCTAGGGCTCCAACTACCTCCGTCTCCAACTACCTCCGTCTCGAAGGTGATTGAGGTGCAGTATGGTGCAATAGATGTGGATTCATCAACCTGCGAACCACGAGATTTGAAGGAGGGCTTTGCAGCATGGGAGGCCAAATGCCAGGATAGAAAACAGTGGTCCTTGTGATGTGTTTCTACAAGTTTCAACAATTTGGATCTTTAGGTGGGCCGATTATATACTAGCTGTAATTATATAACACACACTGAGGCCACTCGGTTCCTTGTGCCTGCTTGGGGAACAACAATTGCGCAAGTTTGGACATGCAAAGACATGTTAATGCTGCACCACCGTCACGGTGGACCTAAATACTCACAAATGGGATCGCACATGGACTGTTTGTTCATTCTTCTTGTTGTTGGTTCATGAGCCCTCATCACGATTCAACCCTGAAACGCTCAAAAAAAAGAATAGAATGCCATCATACGGTCGTACCCATCGTGTAAGCTTCTTTGGTGCTTCTTGTGCGGTACTGCGGATCACCTGCGAAACCCTTTCTGTTCGGTGAGCTTATGGCTTCCCCACGCCAATGGCTTTTCAGTTCGGTGAGCCTTTCTGTTCCAATTCGATCTCGGGCTCCGCAGCCCAGTTCTGCACAACGCCACCAACTGAGTCCTCGAGACCCGGACAACATGACATGACCAAGTGGCGGGGGGGCACACACCTCTCTCGAAGCGTCTTCCGGTGGCTCCGGGTGGGGGGAGACGCTTGGGGAGCTCAATCGTTCGCCGGTGTCATGCCAGGCTTCTTGCGGTTGGTGAGGGACGGGCGTCTACTGGATTCTCAAGAATCTGTCCAAAGTCTGCAGCTTCAGGAGGGTGTTCCTCGGACAATGGGCTCATGAAACGCACCGAGGAAAAGAGTTTTTGAGGTGGGGTTTGGACCTTTCCGTGAGATTCCCCAGCTCCATTTTGAAGTCGTTGAGACAGGTCATAGATTTGGGCTAATTGCTTCGAGATTGAGAAGACAAGAGGTACTGCTGCACAATGATTCACATGTCATAGTCACATGATAGAACGCGGGATTGGGGATGATCAAAAACAGATGGCATCCTAGCTTAGATGCTAAGGTGGAAGTGATCGCAAGGTTCATGAGCAGAGCAGGACCAGAATTTATGACATGGAATTTCCACCATTTCCGGATTTCCGAGTCTCTCACATCGGCATTCCTCGATTTCTGAGTGCGTTCCACTTTTTTGATGCAGTCTTGCTACGGGCCAGACTAGAGCTTGAGGGTCTTCCCCAAACATATCTGGGATGGCGCGACTCATCAGTCAATATTGCGCTGCTTGGGGTGGGAGAATGAGGAGGGTTGGAAGACGATGCACAGTCCCATGCTCCAGAAATGATTGTAGCGGCACGTCATGTATCCTTTTTTGATTGTTGTTCGAACCCGTGGGGACCTCAAACACTTGTCAGTGAACCTTAAATCATAGAGAGGGGGAGATAGAGAGACAGATAGAGAGAGAGGGAGACGGTACATACTGTAGCTGACGTGAAGATTCATTGGTTGAGTGCTCAAGACAATGCCATAGAATTTGCCACTCATTTTTGAGACACACACCCGGCAAAGCTGTTCTAAACTTGTGGACAGTGGATACTGAAATTTGCCACCAAAGAGGCCAGGGGTTCAGAGTTTGAGAGAGAGAACTTCATGTAGCTTGGCCTTTGTTCCATCATTCCAAACGTGCGCTGACAAGGACACCCTTTGTGCTGTGGCCTCCGTCCCCACCGTGTGCGCCAATCCTCGTGCCTTTGCGGTCTACTTCCGTGGCGGGGGCCTGGTGAGCTGGGGCAATGACGGAGATGCGTCCAGGGTCCAGGAGCGGCTGATCAACGTGCAGGACGTCCAAGCGACCGAGCCTTGCGACCCGAGGGATACAGCGATCAAGAGCGGGAGAGGGGAGAGATGGAGGTCCCCGCGACTGCTTCTGTCAGAGGAAAGACTGAGAAAGACCGAAGAAAGGAGAGATGTGAAACATATAGCTTTTTCAACCAGAAGACCAAGTAGAACAAATTGGAACTGTAACTGTTTGACACAGATTCTATAGCCACATGTTTGTAGAGATCATGGCATGTCTAGCAGTCAAGCAGGACAAAACACACTTGCAAATCTGCAAAAGACCGCAGGGTAGTCCTTCCGAGGTTAGACACCGCAAGCAGTCCTTCTGTTGTCGCGTTTCTTGAAGCGGATTGTTTCTATACTGCTGTGCTACCTTCACACAAGGTGAAGTCCTTCACAATCCTTTACAGTTTCAACTGGGAGTGTTGTCCTGCAAGTCTGGATTTTCCAGCAGATCTCAATGATGGGCAGTTCCTTCCCTCCAAGAACAATCCCTTCCCTGTCGAGTAAATGAGCAGACAAATCTCGCTGAACTGGGGGCCTTTTTGGTCCTTTGGTAGGATATATAACAGTATATGAGAATGGATGTACCAATCCCCATGAAGTTGAACAAAGTCATCTCGAGTGGGCTGGGCAACCCCTACATCGAGAATGGACATGGGCTTCCCGTTCCCACTTGTTATATTCAGAGGCAAATGGATGGGTGGTGCACAGAAAGAGTTTTGCAAACACCTATTCTACCAACATCGCGGGAGGCGCGGGACATTCGTGGAACCCGGGGCTATTCGTGGATGTTTCGTGGAAGGTATTTTTGATGCACTAACTTCGTATAAGCGAGTTTTGCTGACCCCCTTTCTCCACACACCCTCCATTTAGCCTTCATATATGATTGCAGCAAAATTATCGTGTCCTTCGTTTGAGGGAATGATCAGTTCATGTGAACTCTGGCCATCCCTTCTTCGTTCCTCCTTCGGCCTCAAAGATCTCCTTCGTCCAAGGATGCTGCTTTCGCCGCACTTTTGGGTGATCGAACGGTCGTCACTTGGGGCCATAGACATTGCGGCGGTGACACTCTAAAGCTCCAGGATCGATTGAAAGATGTGCGGAGCATTCACGCGAACAGTGGCGCTTTCACGGCCCTTTTGGAGGATGGGACGGTGGTTGCATGGGGACTCGACGAAGTCGGGGGTTACTCTGGTCGCATTGAAGATGAGCTTCACAACGTGCGCGCGATCCATAGCATGCAGCGCGGCTTTCTGGCGGTGCGTACAGATGGAAGAGCTGTGACATGGGGGGGAGAAGCTTTGATGGAGGGTGAAATGATTCAGGCACCTGAGTTGAGGAATGTTCAAGCAGTCTACGCTACAGATAGGGGTTCCTCAGCTGCGATCCTGAGTGACAGAACAGTCGTCACATGGGGTCATCAAGCTTGTGGGGGCGACAGCACTGAGGTTCAAGATCAGCTTAAAAATGTTCAAGAGATTTACTCTTCTGGGGGTGCCTTTGCAGCGCTCTTGAGCGATGAAACGGTGGTTACATGGGGTCATTCAGGTTACGGTGCCGACAGCCACAGGGTGAAAGATTTGCTGATAGGGGTGAAGTCGATCACTGCGAACCATCAAGCCTTTGCTGCACTTCTTGCTGATGGTCGTGTGGTCACTTGGGGCAACCCACGCTACGGAGGCGACGCCCCTCAAAGCGCCTTGGTGCCACGTCTGGAAGGCGTGCAGAAGATCTCGGCGACCAAGGGGGCCTTTGCTGCGCAGCTGAGGGACGGACGTGTGGCCACCTGGGGCTTGGACTCCTTGGGCGGAGACAGCTCCCTACAACAAGGCTCGCTGCAGGCTGTGACGGAGATTTATGCCACACACTCCGGCGCCTTTGCGGCGCTCCGCGCAGATGGACGTGTGGTGACCTGGGGAAATCAGACCTTTGGTGGCAGCAGCTTTGCGGTTCAGGATTTGCTGTACCATGTTCAAGAGATTCATTCCACACATTGGGCGTTCTTGGCTCTCCGATCGGACGGTCAATGCGTGACATGGGGCCATCCGGATCGCGGCGGGGACTGTCGAGACGTTCAGCAGAAGCTGCAGTGGCTGATGTGAGGGAGGAGGTCTCATCAAAAAGCTGTGCAGTCTATATAGTCACATTACGTCACATATATATATATATATTGTACACAGTATAAACTATGGCTTCTTGAGATGAACCCCGTGATGACACCATTGTTTTTATTTCAGTATCATATGTGTCCTGCACATGTGTTGGTGACATGCGGCGTGACACCCAGACGGAACCAGAGATTAGATGGACCATGATGCACGATAGATGGACACGTACCTGGTCTTGCTTCGGGTGATTTGTGCTTTTTTCATGTGGGTGAATTCCTTTTTTTAAGGAAGATGTGTTTGCTCAGGTTCCCAGATTCACAAGCAAATCCAAGTCCGCATACCGTGATTGAGTCAGTCAGAGTTCAGTTTGGGGTAGGGAATTGAACTCAGAACTATGCTTCCAACTGTTTTTGAAGCCATCCATTGTACTGCAGATTGAGAAAGTCAAACCCTGGTAGGTTGAGCTACCCAGTACGCAGTACTCAGGAGTCTATTCTGTTTTTGTTGTGGTCAACCCAGTTCCTCCGGCTTTGACCCGCAGCCATTTATATAACTCAGACACGACCTGTCTGGGACTGCCATAGGACTGCCGATCAGTTGGGGTGGTTTGGGGGGTCAATGTATATAAGCATATATGGCAGTCCCATGGAGTGTTTGGGTAATGGTTTGCAGTTCCAAATATAGACCAAACAACCTTTTCAGAAGATAGGAATCGGTCAGTTCTTGACCCCACTTCCACCCCTCCCGAAGGGTATTCTGTCCGGTAGCGGTTCAGGTTGGAAATTCTGGTCCGTCTTTCCATCAATCCCAGAATTGATTTAAGGGAACATCTGCCAGAAACCATGGTTTTCATCCACAAAACTTTGTGTTTTCATGTGTTTTCTGTATACGATTCTGGCAATCTGTTTTGAGCCACTGTTGTCCGTTTTGGTGATCGTTCGGCGACTCTTGTGAAGCCAAGATATTGATATATGATTGATCCTTCATAGCTCCTGCTTTTGAGATCTTCAACCTTGTTTCATGGCAGCATGGTCGACTGAATCACCGAATCATCCTCGCCAAGAGGTCTCCAGATGAAACCGCATCTCCCAATGTCGGTCTCCAGATGTCGGGAGATGACTGGGCGATGCTTTCTTGGGATGTTCATGATGTTCAACCCCAATTCTTGGGATGATTGCACCCCCTGACTCAGTCTTTGTTCTTCATGATGCTTGAAACCACATCAACAGATGATGCTTGTCTTGCTGGGGCGTCTTCGATCGCCGGGGCAACCGACGATCATGGAACGCTGGAACGCGAACGAAGGGTAGACCAAGACACAGACTTTGACAAGAGGCTTCTGTGGAGGCTTGGACGATCACATTCCCCACTCCATGTCATATTATTTGCCCACACTGCGATTGTGGTTGGAATCAACGTCGTATATTATATGTATAATATACTGTTATACATACCGCACGTGGAGTGTTACGGGCTTGAACCTATCAGACTTCTTTCACACTTCTCACTTCTGACCCCTTTGTCACCGGGCACTCCTTGACCTCCTTGGCCCCGATTCGGTGAAGGCCACCATTTCCATGGACCTACCCGCCAGCATGTCGGAGCCTGAGACCGTGCCGCCAACGTGACTTGGGGCTGCTGACTTGGCTGTGCCACGGCGGGGTGGAGTGGGGTTGAAACCTCCACCCTGGCGGATTGGCTTCATTCCACAAACTCAGCCCAAGGTGCAATTCCACCTGGGTCCACGTCATGGCCATGTTGAACTGGTTGGTTGGCTGGTTGGTTGGTTGGTTGGTCTGTTTGTTTGTTCAGCTTTGTTCCGCAGCTTCGTCCGTGGTTTTGCTCGAGCTGCTCGAGCGCAGCGAGTAGCATCCGCGCCGTGTGGTTGAACACCTGGGGACGGTTGATGTGTAGTTTTAATTACAGTGGTTTCAGAGTAGATGGCACAGACCTCAAGATGTCCTTTACATGGGGGTTCATTCAAACCACCTCTTGGGTTTGTGCCATCTACTCTCAATCCACTATATGTATACGGACAAAAACCTAAGGGAAGATTCAATTCTGGCCAAGTCGAAGTGTCTGAAACCAGTTTTCCGAGGGCTGTCTTTAGACTCGCGGAACACGAGCCCAGTGAAAATGTGGATGAAGAAGCTTGATGTTATATCCAATTGATCCATACCTAGGTGATCCAGCTATAACTGGTAACCAGTGGTTCCAAATGGTTCCAAGGACCCTTCTGGTTCCTTGAGAGTGGCTGCCTGGGATCGTGTCCTTAGGGTTCCAGTCGTACCTTAGAAGGTATATGACTGGACACCCCAATCCCACCAGAAGTGAGGAAGTACGACTGGAGCCCTAGGGTCTATATACCATTGCCCCCCTTTCGCCCGCGGCGTCATGTTGGTGACCCTCTTTGGTGGATGGGGCGGCCCCCCAGAGACCTTCCCAGAGTCTCAGGCGGCCCCCCAGACACCATCAACGGTTGGCTGGGTCACCGTAGGGGTCAACTTAAATTAAAACAGTTAAGGCACTTGTTGGTGCAGGAAGAAACAGGCACCTGACAGTTAGGTCACCTCAGGGCATATAGAAACAACAATGAACAAACCATTTGAACCACATCTGAGAGGCTTCTTTGGAACCTCTCCATCCGGAACCATCCCTCCATCCGAACCCATCACCTTCGTGCCCTCTTTCGTCCTCATCTTGAGGTCGGGCGACCTGCAACTGCTGGCGATGCACTCGGAGAGTGGAAGTCCCACCTTGGCGGCCTCCGCGAAGTTGTCGAGGCAGACGACCGGGACGCGTGGGGCGCGTTCCGAGGGCCGAGAGGGATGCGGCGGATTCAGCGTCGTGGCACCCCAAGTCCCTGGTCACTCACCAGGGTAGGCTGGACCTTTGATTTAGTAGATGGACCTTCTGTTCATCGACCCCGTGGTGAGCTCCAGAGCATTCCGCTTTTGACCCACAGCCATGGAAGTATTTCGCCCCTTCCCCTTCCATCATTTGGCATGTTGTTCTTTGGCATGTTGGGTGGGGAGAGTGGAGTGGGAACAAAGGTCTGGAAGTGGTGAAGCTCTTTATGCAGGGGTTTTCGATATCATGTAGACTCTTGATTAATAAGCCCCACATGTAAAGAGGTATTTCAATCCAAATGGGGAGTGAATATTAATCAAGATAATCAATAGTCTATACATGAAGAATGCCACTCTACCAATCAACAGTCATGGATTTGACCGGAGTGAGCGGCAGTCGAGATGCAATCGGCAGACAGGGCTCCATTTTTCCTCTGAAGTCTTTAGAAGGAGCACGTCGGGCGATTTGTTGTGTCTTAGTAACCTTAGTTGAATGATCATCAACTTGTTTGGAAGAAGTACTTCTTTTCAGCCATCAATTGATTCCGAGCAGATGAAGTTCTCAGTTGCCTAAGCAGGTCACCTGGAGCGCTGTATTTCGGACGGTTCATCAAAATCATCGGGTGAAAAGGAGGCCTTTGAGGAAGGTCTTCAAATGCGATATGGTTTCCAACGCTAGATACACAGAGCTGCCAGGCCGGGCACACTGTTTTCAGCTTAGACTCTGGCCTCCGTGAGGAACGCTTTGTGGGCGCCACTTCGGTCTGAGGGTCTCATAAGGATGGCCTTTGGGCCTTCGCACTGTCGGACTCGTCATACCGTGGTCTTTGGATGGAGGGTAACGTGGTCTTTGGATGGTGTGGCAGGCCTTTGGAGTTACCCTTCAACCTCACCTGCAGCTTCTCCAAGGACGAGGCACAAGATGCATGCCTGCTGCTATGAAAAAGCGGTGTATTCTTTTGCGATGATGAATTAGATCCCAATCAGGAGCCAGAATAGGTCTCCGTAAATGAAGCATCACTGAAACCACCATGGGGCCAGAGCAAGGCATCAGAAGATACATCTGTCGATGTCTCGATACGTGCAAACAGGGAAAGGAAGGATCAGAGGACAACATTGCAGAATCAATCTATGCCAGGGCCCCGTGTTTGGGGTGTCCAATTATAGCTCCTTAGAGGTTCAGGGATGTCCATTTTCCACCCCTGGCCTTAGGGGAATCAATCTATGGTGGTGATTTCGGATGTTGTTATTCTTACCCTTAAACTTGCTTGGGATTATTGAACCCATTGACTCATTGACTCCTGTTCGTTCGGTTTCGTTGAACCCAATAATGATGACCTCACCGATGACCGAATGGCACAAGCAACACAGTCAGTGAATCCACTCCTCAGTGGCACACTGCACCGAAATCCTCTGAGTTACGAATGACAGGAACTGCATGGAACTGCCGAAGTGAAACAGCAAGAACCAACGATTTCGAAGAACATTTAAATAGACGGTTTCAAGGCCATCATAATGAATATTCCGACCATTTCTTCCAACAGCGGGCAACGACGCCACCGTTCATCGCCACCGTTCAGGTCCAACCGGGCAACGACGTGGCAGTTCAGCTGCAGGCGGGTGATGGACCCACGACCAAAGGGCTCTCCCACCATTTCAGCAGTTCCTCTGGTTTGAGCGTTCGAAAGAATGGGAGGGACGCTCTTTGACATGGTTGTGCGTCCGCCAAAGACTGAAAGGACAATAGGATTCAATAGGGTCTACCCATTGAACCATATTAAGTGCCCAGATTGGGCCACGTAGTCTCCTTCTTACAACCAGGAGTCAGGAGCCTCGACCAAGGAGTCGCCCACATCCTGGCATCACGAAAGCTAGCATCAGCTGGCTGGAATTACTCTTGCTTCAAGCTTTGGGGGGCTGGAATCGGCTACCCAGTGAATTATTCACTGCTAAGGGCACGTCCAAATCCTCTCTTGAAGTTGCGTTGCACTGAGAATCCGGTCGTTCCTCTGCAGGGTAACAGTGACCGACCCTCCCCAGACATATCTAAGATTCAAGGGAAAAGTAAGCAATTGCACTGACACAATGATGAATTTTGCCTGGGCTGGGAAGACAACTATCTATAGTATCTATAGTTATACTTGTATGTTGCTTCACCTTTC